AATTCAGTTAGAATAATAAGAAACTGTAGAGTTGTTACCATTCAAATGAAATTAGTTAAACTCTATCTTTGCACTGCTGAGGAAACAGAAGCTGCATCTGAAGTGGCATTAGATGCATTTACACAGACAGTTTGATGATGCTGAGGTGCCATAAATGCATTTACACTGCAAAATTTTTAAAGATTAATGTTTTACATAATTTTTTTAACTTACAAATAAATGTTGAAAAAATGCAATGATACTTTTAAATATGACTAAACCACCAGTAGGTGGCGGCAAATGTCTGTTTTAATGAGTGAGTCATTTATTCATTCATTCAACAGATTCATTCAAACGGCTGATTCATTCAGAAACGAGGCAAGTGACTGGCCTTATGAATGAGCCACTGAATCATTGACTCACTCGATTCATTCAGTAACAAAACACCGCTGTTTGTTACTCGGAGACGAAACCGTTCTGTTGTGGCTTTGATCTGAACTATTTTCGTCAGCGAAATTGAGCAAAAACAGTCAATATTTTTGTCTAAAATCGAAGTCACTTAATTTTAACTTCTTTTTTATTGAAATACTATTGTATAAAATCAGTGTCACATTGCAATAATGTTGATATTGATATTCAGGGAAACATCATGGCCGTATAATGTTGCTTACCTAAATCATATTTTGTAAATATCTTTTTTTTTCTACCGCAGTATGCATCTATACATTTCTGTGAGTTACTTGTGTGTGCTGTCTCTCTCACACACTCTCTAATATATATATATATATAAATAACAATATTCAAAATTAAACTAAATGAAAATTACAAATGTTCTCTTGGCAATGAACTGTTGAAGCATTAAAATGACTAAATGGAAATAAAAAATAAAACTGAGCAAAATATGAATTACACCTAAAAAGTAATATTAAAATTGAAAAGCGAAAATATTCAAATAAAAGCTATTTAAAATATTATTAAAAACTACAATAGTATATAATACTATAATAACACTCATACGCACAATTTGGCCAAAATTTTGTGATTATATCTTAGTTTGTGATTGTCAGTATGACTGTATATTATTATTATTATTATTATTCAATAAAAATATGAAAAAATAAATAAAACCAAAATAAGTAGAACTATTGGAATATTTTACTGTGAAATATAACATTAGGTATTTTAAGAAAAATAATATTTTTATTTTATACTCCAGCGTTAAAAGGACTATACTAGTATTTATGGTTGTCATAGTTACGTCATTTTCAAATGTTACACAATCAAACTTTTTTGATTGAAAGCTGCAAGGAGTAATGAAGACTTAAAATTGTATCTTCAACTTGATGGTTTTACTTATTTTAAAATGATGAGAAATGTCTCATTTGTGTCTGCGTGTTACAGATTGAAAACACCACCACGACCTCAGGGTCAAAGGACAGAACCAGAGAGCAGAGGAGTGAGTGTCTGTGCTTATAAACAACACTTTATCTGCTGCATCATTATGCTGTGATTATGAATGTGATATTCGTCATATCTGTCCGCAGGTGTTTCAGGGTTTTGGTGACACAGGGTTTCACATGTCTTTTGGAATCGGGGCTTTTCCGTTTGGTTTTTTCACCACAGTCTTTAACACCAACGATCCTTTTCAAAGACGAGGTCAGTGCTGTTGTTTGTCTTTATGAAAGTGAAAGTGAAAGTGACGTGACATGTGGCCAAGTATGGTGACCCATACTCGGAATTAGTGCTCTGCATTTACCCATCCAAAGTGCACACACACAGCAGTGAACACACACGCACACACCCGGAGCAGTGGGCAGCCATTTATGCTGCGGCGCCCGGGGAGCAGTTGGGGGTTCGATGCCTTGCTCAAGGGCACCTCAGTCGTGGTATTGAAGGTGGGAGAGAGCGCTGTACATTCACTCCCCCCACCTACAATCCCTGCCGGTACGAGACTCGAACCCGCAACCTTTGGGTTATGAGTCCGACTCTCTAACCATTAGGCCACGACTTCCCCATGAGATGCTCACTATTAATATTTCATTATTCAAATGCTCAAGCGTTAAGATCATGTCAGGTCTTATGAATGTTCGTTTTTAAAGCCGTGACTTGATCTCATCAGATCCTCATTACGGAGGAGATCATCAAGCCGACGGCAACCCCAACAACGGCAACAACTGGCAGGACTCGCTCTTCCTCTTCCTGGCCATCATCTTCTTCTTCTGGATGCTGAGCGTGTGACGCCTGCGATTGAAGCGACAAGATCAGCTGTCTGTGTCTCATATACACACACACTCACATACACACATCAGTGTTGAGAGAGACAGTATTAATGATTAAACACTACAGGAGCTGATGAAGCAGCTCGCAAAACACAGCATATTTCACCTCAAAATCAATACAAACGCAATGAGAAATTATTGTGCATAAAGGTTTTTGTTTTTTTTCGACCCTGAAACTATTCTCAATGGACCTGCATTCTAAAATTATTTTCAGGATGATTAAACGCATTTAATGTCAAATTCTCATTGCTTTAATGAAGTGTCGTAACTAATTAATTGTCATGAAAAGAATGTCACATGCAATGAATGCATACAATTTGAATAGTTATAAAAATAGCCATAAAATTAAGAAATGGAATGAAAAAATTACTATAAATGAAACTGAAAATTGTTTGAAACTGAAATGGAAACTTCTTTCTGGAATTATTTTCTTGACATTTAAACGTATTTATTCCCAAAATTCTTATTTCCGTAAGTTGAGATGTCTCTCTTATTACTATGCCATACATTTTTGTTGTATTACAGTAATAGTAATTGTGAGGAGGAAATGTTTAAGTATTTAAGTCATGGTAAAAAATATCACAATATATTAATAATGTATTTTCTTTTTTGGGGTGAAATATTACCTAGACAGGTTTCATAAGACAGGTTTCATGAGATTCACCAAATTTTATGCTCACAAATTTCTGTGGCTTTTCATTTTCATGCCAAAGAATTTCTGAAATGAGAGACATGAAGACAGATGTGATTTATGTAGGATTTATTTCATTACTCCTGAAAGTGTTTTAAGGCTGTGTCACTGCGTTTGGACGATCTTCACTGCACACGATGAGGGACGTTTCACTTATTCAGATCCTTAAATCTGCCTGAGGAATTAAAACACAAGTCAATATCATACTTGTGTAATAAAAGGGTGAATCTCATGAATCATGTCCTGGTCACATTTTATTCCAAAATCAAAAGAAAAAATTCTTAAGCTTATTATTCTTATTTTAGGACCTTTGCAATTTTAAAGCACAATAATAATCATATA